TGTGTGTGTGTGTGTGTGTGTGTGTGTGTGTACACACACACACACACACACACACACACACACAGATAGAGATATATCATTTGCATTTTACAATGAAGTTTTTAAAATCTCGATTACTTTATTGAGTTATCAGTATAGTCAGCTCTTCCAGCATACCCTGGGGTTCAGGAGCTGTGCTATTAACAGTAATGGATTACATATTGCTGCATTATGCTGAAGGAATCCTGACTTCCAGCATCAATGAGGTAGTTTATATGCACATTTCAGAAGTTCTCTCTTTGGTAAATCATGATTTCTTATAATAATTTTATTTCTTTTTTTTTTTAATTGCCTGATTTTGATCAGGATTTGATCATTCATAAAATGCACCTGCCAGACTATTCAATATGTACAATGTCAGCGTAAACATCATAGGATATAAACAAAAACATTTCAGGTTACCGAAGGAATTTTTAAAATCCAATTTACATTTCCCTTTTCATGCCCTTTATTTAATTATTTACATTTCACTCAGCTTGGACAATGAAAATTAATAAAGTCAGTTTCACTTTTGTTTAGAGTCAATTTCACTATCAGGTTGTTTGTACTGTACTACTTAGGTTTCAAATTCTAAACAGCAACTTTTAAATGACAGGCAGTGATTTTCATTGGAATTTAAAAAAAAATTGGATTAACATTTTGTTGGACTTAAGTTTTATTAAAAGCTTTTCCCATCCTCAGCACAACATTTAAATTGTGGGTCATATTTAAATTGATAGCGCTTTCTTAAAATGTTGTTAATAAATAATTTTATACATGAGTAGGATGTCTTCCAAAGTCTCATCCTCATTGAAAAGCACTTTAAAAAATAAAATATTAAAATTATTTAGCAGCATGCTCTGAAGGACACTGTTGAATGGAAAAAGGATCACAAACTTACTTTTTATGCCTTCAAATGAAAACTACCTAATGTTTCTAGATCCTGAAGTTCAGGGGCATATTACCAACCTCAAAAAGCCAATTCTGTCTCCTTACATTTATCAAACATCTTTTAGCTACTTACTCAGTCTTTAATCATCGTTGGGAAGGGTGCTGGGTAGAAGGGGCAGCACCTCTTCTCCAGTTCCCACGTGATGCTCGAAAGCACACCATGGAATCCAGGTCTGGGCCCAATGGAGAGAACACTGATCTTCACTCTCCTAGCTGTGCGTAACGTTACTAATGTAAAATCCTGGCCTCAGTATCATTGACTTCAGTGGGGCTAGATTTCACTCCTAATCTTATGAACAGATAGTAAAGCATTGATACAGCAAACCCTGCAGTCCCATGCTAAAAACAGCACCCATTCCGCCAGACAGTGGATTTCACAAGTCTCCAAAAAATCTGTGCCTCTACAAAATTAAAGTGATGTGAATTGTGCAGGCTATACCTATGGAACGTTTTGAGTTTTTTTCTCAGCAAGATCTCCAGAGTCAGAACTTTCTGCATTAAGAGGCATTTCACAGCAGTTTCTTCTCTGCTGGCAGGGTTGATGCGTTGTGCTGTCAGTCTCCAAACATGGATCTCGTGTTTCAGTTCTAAGAAGAAATAGGATTGTCTAGCTTAAAGTGATATCGAATGCATATTAAATCAGATCCCCCCACCCAAAAAAACAAAAAACGCAAATACACACTGAATGTCTTGTACTCCAAAGTTAAAAACCACTCAAATGGAAGCAGCATAGAGCTAGTGACCTTCAAAACTATTACTGAAAGTTTGCTTTGGTGTGTAGGAAAAAATAATGATAAATAAAGAGGAAAAACATTTTTAAAACTTTAAATGAAACAAACCCCAGATTCAGTTTCCGAACAACAAATTGTTCCCTCCAATGCTAGTGAGTGGTTCCCATTGAATTACGAAAGAACAGAGCACACATATCCAAGGACAAACTCTGGGTCTAAAATCAATCAATTTGTTTTTAACCTACACAAAACAAACTGTACCCTATTGTACTGCTAACAGAGTGCTAGCCATTTTGTAGAAATATATGAAGGTAAATGCCCCTGTACAAGGAGAATGGACAAATATAAATCAAGGAAGGTGATTGGAATGGAATGAAAAGCATGAAATTGTCCAGGAAGAATTAGCATGAACAATGCTAGCTCCATGATTTGTTGGGATTCTTTTCACTTATTTTATTTTCATATTAAAACATTGTTAATTATATAAAATAAATGTTTTAATTATCCAGTGTGGTGGAATTTTAGCATTGCGTTTGAGAACATGGTGTAATGACATTAAACCATTTCCCAGGGATGCAAGTTCTGGAGACTTCTGAGATGCTTGTTCCATAGGCATGGAGACCGTTGGGAATCCTAGAGTTAACAAAAAGAACAGGAGTACTTGTGGCACCTTAGAGACTAACAAATTTATTTGAGCATAAGCTTTCGTGGGCTGCAGCCCACTTCATCGGATGCATAGAATGGAGTCTATAGTAAGGAGATATATATACACACATACAGAGAACATGAAAAGGTCAGAGTTGTCCTACCAACTCTAAGAGGCTAATTAATTAAGAGAAAAAAAAACTTTTGTAGTGATAATCAAGATAGCCCATTAGACAGTTTGACAAGAGGTGTGAGAATACTTAACATGGGGAAATAGATTCAATGTTTGTAATGGCTCAGCCATTCCCAGTCTCTATTCAAGCCTATGTTGATGGTGTCTAATTTGCATATTAATTCAAGTTCAGCAGTTTCTCGTTGGAGTCTGTTTTTGAAGCTTTTCTGCCACTTTTAAGTCTGTTACTGAGTGGCCAGAGAGGTTGAAGTGTTCTCCTACTGGTTTTTGAATGTTATGATTCCTGAGGTCAGATTTGTGTCCATTTATTCTTTTGCGTAGAGACTGTCCAGTTTGGCCAATGTACATGGCAGAGGGGCATTGCTGGCACATGATGGCATATATCACATTGGTAGACGTGCAGGTGAACGAGCCCCTGATGGCATGGCTGATGTGATTAGGTCCTATGATGATGTCACTTGCATAGATATGTGGACAGAGTTGGCATCAGGCTTTGTTGCAAGGATAGGTTCCTGGGTTAGTGTTTTGTTCTGTGTTGTGTGGTTGCTGGTGAGTATTTGCTTCAGGTTGGGGGGCTGTCTGTAAGCGAGGACAGGTCTGTCTCCCAAGATCTATGAGAGTGAGGGTTAACAATAATCCACCTAACATTTCTAAACACAATATCCCAGGGCAGCCCACAGGATTCAGGGGGCCTGGGGCAAAGCGGGGGAGCTGAGGCGCTTGTACTCACCCGGCGGCGGTCTGGGTCTTCGGCAGCATTTCAGCTGCGGGGGGCCGTTCAGTCACTCTGCGTCTTCGGCAGCACTGAAGGACACGCCGCCGAAGACCTGGAGCGACTGAAGGGCCCCCTGGTACCAAAATGCTGCTGAAGACCCAGACCGCCGCCAGGCCAAGGCTCGCGGGGCCCCTGCGGGGCCCAGGGCCTGGGGCAAATTGCCCCACTTGCCCCCGCCTCTGGGCGGCCCTGCAACATCCTTGTCCACACTCAGGCCAAAATAACATTTAATCTGGTGTTAGAAAACATGACAAGGCCACATTTTGACTAACACAATGTGTTTTTCCCCCCCAGTAGAGACAAGGCCTTGGGGCCTTACATCAAGGGGGAAAACTGTAGCTCCTGCTCAGCTAGAGTGATAGAATGTGTGCATTAGGAACGAGCCTTGGATTTCCTAGAAGAATCCTAAGAAAGTACGAGCAGAATCCTTAGTTACACAGATAATATCTAATACCACCTAGAAGGAACTTTTTTCCGAAGTTGAAACCCATTTAAGCAAATTGCCAAGGGTTAATTGCTGCCCAATTCCAGATCACTCATATAGCCAGAGAACTTTAGTATGGGAAGAGAGGCATGTGAAGCTCTTCGTGCTGCTTATTCATAATTTAGCAATAAATAATTATAAATAAGCATTTATTTCATTTACTAAGAGTTATCCTTCAGAATGTCCTGAAAACAAATATTTCCTTATATACTGAGAGAGGTAACATTAGTTCTATTTGTTGTTGTGATTACTTTGCTCACATTATTTAGTAACAGTAACGTATCTATTGAAGCCCCCTCCCTTTGTGACCAATTATTCGCAGTTATCAGATTATAAATCATGCAGAGATGGGTTTAACAAGGATTCACCCTTGATGAAACATTATAATTTTACATAACTGATGCAAACAAAGAGCCACATACAGCAACTGACTTACATTTTGAATGGCCTCATAAATGTGTTTTGCAGGTGCATAAATGATGGTCTTTGCCCAGAGTTTACAATCTAAGGGCTTGCCTATATGAACAGTTAGTAAATGGTAACCTGGGTTGTAAATCTACCCCACACTAGCCTGCTGTGCACCATCTGTATGAACCCTGCTACCATGCACTAAAAGGTCCCATTTCAATGCAAAAATCTAAAAAAAAAGTGGAGTCTGATTTCCTTATAGGCTTCTTCATTTTCTTTCATCACTCTGATTTTGTCTCTAAAAATGTTGCTTTGCGATTCCTGTATGGTAAAGGGAAAACTTTAAGTGATCCTATATGCTGTCTCAATCTAAATGAGATAATCTTTTACACTGAATGTAAGTACATGAGGTATGAGAGATGCCAAGAAGGTTCTATCACATTGGGATTTCTCTTGAGACCTCAATCTATTGGTTCCCCAGAACTCATCACTCAGGTTTCTTGATTGGCATACACTAAGACTAGACAGCACTGATCAGACTCACGGGTAGGGGCTACGTACAGGGCATATCACAAATCCAAAGAGTCCAGGTGTTAATTACTTTATGTACTAGTTTGACCCTATACTGATGCATGCATCTTCCATCCTACATTCACTTTCAGTCCTCCCTTCATTCAACACATTGAACACTGAAAAACAAGACAAATTTACAAGTGAAATCCTGGTCCCACTGAGGTTTGTCATTGACTTCAGGGGGCCAGGATTTCACCCCACATTTTAAAAAAGTTGTATTTAGTTTATAAAAAATCAAATGTGTGTTCTCTTCCTGCAATCCTGTTACTCACATTCAGAACGATTCCCTCTTTCAGAATATCGTTCACTCCTCCACTAACACTAGCAATATCAAAGAACACAGTATTGCAAACTCAATCTAATTAATTCTCAAAATCCTTAGTGACGAGCTCTGTTAATTGAATACACTCAGGAAAGCATAACCGTCCATGATGGGATGATAATTGTCATTTTATGATAATTTTTAACCTGAAAGTGCACTATACTTCTAGAAGCCTAGGTGGATGAGGTAATAGCTTTCATTGGACCAACTTCTCTTGGTGAAAGACAGTCAAGACAGTTAGCAGTGATGGGCTGTGGCTAATAAAGTGCAAATCATATTCCTAGGAGTACAATTTTCTCCTCATAGTATTGCAGGCTAACTTTTTTCACTAAAATATATTTTTCCTAGCTAAGATTTTAGAGCAAAAATAATTTTATCAATATATTCATTGAACAAGAAAGAAAAAACAGCACCATTGATTTTATAGCTTCACATAACAATAATACAACTTTTATAGGGTTTAGTTCTTAGACGTGCTTTACAATTATTAACTAATTTGTCCTTGTGAAGTAGGTAAATAAGCATTATCCCCATTTTACAGATGAGGAAACAGAGGCAAAGAAGTGCTGCTCAAGGTCTCAGAGGGAATCAGTGTCAGCTGAGATTAAAACTCAGAATATCTTGGTGGGAGCCAGAAACTACTAAGTACCAGAACAAACTTCCCAACAATACCAAATAAGTTTAAGGTACTGATCTTGCAATCATTTATGAGTATGCTCATCTTTATTCACATGGCTAGCCCCTATTGAACTCCTGCAACCCTGAGCATCCTGATATTTACATCCTACACATTATTGTAATAATCTTTGTACAAAACATGCCTTGTGAGGTATCATTTGAAACTAATCATTTACTGATCATTAACATTCTTGCAAGATGTAGGTCCATGGTGGGTATTAAGAGTTAGGGATATATGCTAGAATTCTGACTAAAAAGTGTGTTTAAACCAGGCATGTCAAGAGAAGTTTATAAACAAGTCTTCCTTAGACAAAGGAATGCATATTTGATTCTTTGACCAGCCCAATCTTCAGGCAAAGACAATGAAGGTCCATTTTTACATATTAGATAAACAAAGCTATTAAGCTAACAGGTGGGGGAAGAAAGAGCATGGAGCTTTCTTCACCATCAGACTCCATGTTGCCTTCTTCACAGCTTGAATAAACTTTACTTTGAGGGGTAATCCACAGAACAGGCTATAAAGATGGGGGTTGAACCTCAAGTGATAAGCAATTGAATCAACTGGTTGTATACAATATTACTGTATTATAAAAGGGTAGCATGAACTTTTTTCTGAAAGCTAATGACACCGGTGATTAATATTGTGAAATGTGTATATTAACACTATATGAGGAAATATGGATACTTAATATGTTTTAAAGTCTGTGGCCAAACAGGGAGAAAGAGGTTCCCATCCAGACAGGAGAGAAGGCAACTATTTATCTGTCTCCTATGTAAA